CGCCGTAACCACATCCAGCGGGATAGCCTAATGTCCGTTTTGTTGTTGTGGCGTACATTGGAAAAAGTTGGGGCTCACCAGCCACAAAGAATAAATGTTTTATTTATGCGACACAATGATCGCAAAAAGTGACCAACGGAGCCGTCCAGTTTCGTAGACCTATGAGATGTGATAATAAAAACAGTTAGAAGATGGTGTCATTGAATAAAAAATAAAAATCATAAGAAAATATAAAATGAGTGATAAGACTTTTGTGAAGGTAAAGAATGAAGTAAATGCTCGGGGGGCAGGCAGAGAACAAACAACACTCTAATCACTCTGTGTGTAGATCATATGTACCAAAGAACAAATATTTGATATACTGATTTTGAAGACTGTTGATGTCTACAGGTATGATGGTGTAGTGCATTAGTACCTACAGTTTGTCGTCTAGTATGGTCTTGTTATGTTTCCATTCACTTTCAAATCAGGCGAATAGAAAGCTAAACACACTCACTCCTTGCGCTTATGGGCTAGCACATCAGAGCCAGACGTGAGACCTACAGAATGGATTTCAATTGATCGAATGCACACATTAGTCACCGTAGGCCACAAGCCATCACTCTTAGCCAAAAGAGCTACTGCCCCGTGCTGGTGTGGAATGATGTGCTATGAAGTGAGATTTCAGATCCAAGCACATAGTCAGCGAGCGCTGATCCGACGTGCATTGTGGAGCTTCCGACTGAACGTGTACGTGAGTGTCAGCATAGTCATTAGGTTATTGAACGCCGTAACCACAGTATTTTTAAATAATAAAAATACTTATTATTTTACAAACTTTTATAAAACAAAAATCTTCGTCATTTACTGCATTTTGGATGCCTCATTTTAATGTCCAATTTTATATTTAAATTTAAATTATAATTTTTAATATAATTAAAATTAAAATTAGTAAAATACAAACTAAGTTATTTTTAACTAAATTAAAATACAAATATAAATATATTTTTTTATTCCATAGGTAGTGTATAATAACATATAACTAATATTAGACAATTAGCAGAAATATTTGTTTTGATTTAATTTGGAATCAAATGCAAACTTCAAATCAAGATTTGATTCAATGCCTAAAATGTTAATTTGCAGGGCCCTAGTATTTATTTATATCATCTATATGGGCAACAACTTTATCAAGTGTTTGCCTATTTAAACTGCAAATTACGTTTTTATTGATTTTGTATGGTTCTGTTTTTTTTTTTTTTTGTTTTTTTTTTTTTATTTGCATTCACTCCCAAAAAGGCTGCAAGTAACCACTATTAAGTTGGGAGTTACTAGGAAAAAAAAAGAACAGAGTTATAGAGCAAGGAAACGGTTGACAGAAGGTTTAAAAAGTTAAAGGTTGTATGAGTCAGGAAAACATGAAGATGGGAGAGAGTTCCAAAGGAATAAAGTGCAGGGAAAAAAACTAGATGAATAAGAGTTTTTAGAGCATTTTAGTGCTGTTAGTTTAAAAATCGATTTTTTTCCACAACTTTAAAAGTCATTTTAGTATGGCGACTTTTTTTTTATTAATTTGAATCATTCAATTAAGAAAGTGTAATAGTTTGTCTAAAGTTATAATTACTTTTAAACTTCTTATGAAAGGAGGGGGGGGGGAGGAGAGAGGAAGGGAGGAAGGGGGGGGAAGGAGGAGGTGCAGTTATATGTGATCTTCTTCTTTAAAAAGAATCATAGCTTAATAAATATATATTTAAATTGTTGCAAACCCCTTGTAATTTTGTAAACAACAAAAACTTGTACAAAAAGTGTCAGAACTTTTGTAAATTTATGTAGTTTTAACAAATTCAAAATTAAAATAATGTTTTAACTAAGTATCATTACTCGAAGCTTTAAATGTAAAACCATAATATTTAATATTGTTAACAAAAAATTTAAGTCTTTTAACTAAATTTTAGAAAAAACAAAACTTTGTCATGTTTATCATGTTAATCAAGTGACCGGGGCCAGGTTTGATAAAATATAGCTCGGGCCGGGTTTGTGATCGGGGCTGCATAAACATTTATACATTCTGAAGTACAATTTTTTTTTTTAATTCATTTTATATTTTGTATATACAGTAGAATCCCGTTAACTCAGACCCTGGATAAGTTGGATTTTTACCAAGTCGGACAAATTTTCAATTCCCCTTAAATTCTCTATCGATACCAAAAGCTTCGGTTAACTCGGACATTCGCTAAGTCAGACAAAATATATATACCTGTTCAAAGTCCGAGTTAATGGGATTCTACTGTATATGCATATATAAACATCATAATGATCAACATGATCATAATCATCATTACCATAATCATCAACAGCATAAAAGAGAAAGACTAAAACCTGATGATGAACAAGTTGCATCCTTTTACTGTATTTGTCCCTTCATGCTATAAAAACTTTTATTAATTCAGTTTTCCTTGAACATCAAACCTTATAACTCCTACCCATTTTCATTTTTTATACAACTTACAACTTTTTAAGTCTTTAGTTATACGTTTCCTAGTATTTTAACTTGTTCTCTATTTTAAAGTAACTCATAACTTAATAGTGGTTGCTTGCAATCTTGTTGGAAGTAAATTAAATTTAAAAAATATATAAATGTATTCCAGTATTTAATAAATTGTAAATGTAAGCATAAAATTTTAATATATTAAGTATCACAAATTTCTTTCTAGCCCAGCTATCAACCCCTGCCAAATCTTATAATTTTGCCAAGGCCGGATTTGCAAAAAGTCTCATTTTTAGCCAGGGCTGGGGTCTGGTAGACTAGTTAACTTATTTACATGAAAGTTGCAAAAGCTCATTTTTTTATTTTTTGTCATTATTTTTTTGAATTTTTTTATTTAAAAAGTAAAAATATTTGACCATTGTTAAATTGAATATGTTCTATTTTCGCACTAAAATATTTTGGATCATGCAAATAAAGTATAAATGGATGTTAAGATAATATATCTGACAACACACTGAAATAGCTTGCTGTCAGGGGCTGGGAGCAGGCTATTTTATCTACTGAAGGTTTGGGGTGGGGCAGCAATCTTTTTTTATTATTCTTCATTTATTTCTTTGTTTTCTAAAAAATCTGTATGCTATAAAGATAAGTGAAATGAGTAATCAGTTCTCAAATCAATCAAAATGCTGGACCTAAAAGCCACCAGACCCAGAACAGTTAGTCCTGTTAACCAAACGGGCCGGGTATGGGTTGTATAATATCCAGACCTGTTATACCCAGACCAGATCAACATTTTTTTAACTAAAGCCATTTAGAACTTTTAAAAAGCGCAAATTTTTTGATCATATTTATTATTAGGCATAAATGCTGATTAAAAAAAAACAATGCTTTCAAGAGTTCGAGCCTTAAAATCAAGATGGCTTGTCTGAAATTCGATTCCTGCTCTAATCATATTATTCCTAGACAAATGTTCTTCTGCAGTGTTCTATGACAAGATTGTTAGGTCTACTTTGAACACTTTATTAACCTAAAAGAAAGAGTTTTATTGGCTTTTATTTGATAAAAATTAAATAAAATCAATTTAAAAAATCTTATGAGAAAGACCCCAGGGTGACATTGTTTTTGATGCCTTGAATTAAATTGTTTATAATGCCCCAGATTAAATTTTTTGTCCCTTGATAAATAATTTATTAGTTACCCACTATTTATTCTATTTATTACATCTATTGCATTATAAAACTACTGTTTAGTTTTTAAGTATTTTTATTACTTATTACCCCACACCCAGTAATGCATTATTTTTTGTTTTTAATTTTGTATGTAATGACCAATGATTGTTGTATAGAACTTAAAGTACAATATAAAAAGTTGTTTATATATATATATATATATATATATATATATATATATATATATATATATATATATATATATATATATATATATATAAATGTTTAGCAAAGTAAAAAGTTCCAGGTAAAAAAAGAAAAACTATTTAAACTAAGATGAGTAAAATATATTTATTAGTTAATTTTTAACAAATATTTAAAATTTTTCTCTAACACAGAAGGCCTTACATATAAAATCTTCAGTTGTGTATGAGATTTACAAAACTATAAAAAAACTTTTTATATAGAGCTTTCTATAAGAATTTTAAAAAGGAAGTAATTAAGGTTTATATAAAAAAAAACTGTAATTAACTATAATATAGTATAACTTGATTCTTGTTGGTAAGGAAATTTTAAAAGTAATGTAAAAATAGTTACTTTCTGTTTATATGTTCATTGTTTCATGTCCCTGTTTATGTAGGTGAGCTTCATAAATAAGAAGTAAATTTTAACATTGGAAATAATTTTAAAAAAGGTTCATTTTTATGGCAATTGAAAATATGCTGATCAAATTTATCTAAACCATTACCTATTCTGCATGTGTAGATGTGTAGATTAGTTCTTAACCTTAGGTTATTAGTTTTACCAATGTATGTTGTATATATATATTTATATATATATTTATATACATATACACACATTGCATATATATATATATATTATATTATATTTTACAGTTATATATTAGTTATATGTAGTTTATAAATTAAAATTGCAAATTACTAACATATTTGAAAGACTATTCTTTCAAATATGTTAGTAATTTATTTACTCTGAGAGTTGCAATTTTAAAATGTTTGTAATTTTTGATTATTACAGGGGTGGGACCGCAAAATGTGAACACTTTTCTGATTGTAATAATTAATTTTCTGTTAAATATGAACTATTTTAAATAAGAATGTCCAATGGTTGGACATTCTTATTTATAATAGTTCATATTTAACAACTCTTTAGACACTTTCTGATGAGTGAGAGAGTACAACTACATCTAACGAGAAAATAGTTATAATAAAACAAAAACGTTCACATTTTGCGGTCCCACCCCTGTATAATGATTATTTGTAATTTTTATGTTTTATTGCTTAACAACAAATGATAATAAACATCTCAAAATTTTAACAACAACATTTGTAATATTTTTTTAGGAAGTTATGGTTGCAGGTGGTCAAGAAAGCATGTCAAATGTTCCATTTTATCTGAAGCGTGAACCGCTTAGTTATGGCGGTAATTCTTTGATTGTAAGCAAAATTTAGATTTTTTACTTTTTGCAGCATAATTATATTTGTTCTGAGAATTACTCACTTATTGACACATTTTCTCATTTTAGTTAGTATTGTTATTGATTTTGTAAAATAGTTACAAAATAAACAATTTTTTTATAAAGTTTGAAAAAATTATTATTATACTTATAAAATGTTTATTTTCAATTTGTGTGAAAATTTGTTTTATTTTTTAATGAAACATTTAGTGAGTAAAGAAGTTCTGAAAAAAACTTTAAAATTTAAACTCACTTAAAGGTTCATATAAAGTGAAAACACAGAAATCAGTCTAATCCAAATAATATTGTGATAAATTGTGTTTTTATTATAGGGTTCGGAAAAATTACAATAAGTCCTAATTATAATTAATGACAAATTAATCTGAAGTTTTTTAAACCTAGTTGTTAGTTTTTATAGTTTATTTAGTAAGTTATCTCTGATTAGTAATATAAGTGTTAATTTAAAAAAATTAAAAGTATTAACATTTAAAAATATAATTGTTAATATTTTATTTATATTATATTATTGTTTTTATATATTTTTAATCTTTATGACTACAACAGTTTTAAATTTTATAATTTATTTTAAGGATGGAATTGTTTTTGATGGTTTAACTGATGCATATGATAAAATTCACATGGTAAGTGTTTTTATTGACAAGTTTGTTTGAATTGCAATAATTGTTTTACTTTTTATCTTATTCATAATTTTTTTTAAGGGCCTTTGTGCCGAAGGTACAGTTTCAAAATATCACATAACTCGCGAAGAACAAGATGCTTATGCTATAGCCTCATATACCAAAAGCAAAGCTGCATGGGAGGTATTTTTTTTATAAGAAAATGTTAAAAAAATAAGTATATATATATATATATATATATATATATATATATATATATATATATATACACAAATAGTATTGCGTACTAAAGTAAGCAATCTGACGTCATACTGAAATAGCCTGCTGCTGGGGGCTTCAGTACATACATCGACTGACAAATACCCTGACTCGCAGTGGAGTGCTGCTACATCGACTGAGGGTTTAGGATGGGGAAGCAATCGTTTTATTCATCATTCTTCGTTTTTTCTTCTTCTTTTTCAAAAAAAACGGTATAGCTTAAGAAAATGTGAGAAAATATTTTAATTCAAAAAATAACATACATGAACGTAAAAGAATAAATAACAGTATAAAACATGTTTTAGTACTTTACTTGAGGCCCTCAAACTTTTAGAACAATGCTGCACGAATAGTCTCTATTCTTGCACCATTAAAGCAACAGAAGACTCAATATTTGCGCTATTTTATGTCACTATAAACCAAGGAGACCGCCAGATTCGGCAGTCTCCTTTGTATGTGAACCATTAATCATTTTTTAACTGTAATGATGATTCAATTACAATATAATGTACAACACTGTGAACCAAGGAGACCGCCAGGTTTTATGTTATGGCACTCAAATAAATCCTTTTGACCATAAAAGTAATTGTCCTGTATGTTTTGAAAAGTAAGTTTTTAAAATTTAAACCAAGTGTTAAAGGTCAAAAACAGGGCAAAAGAGTAAGTCTGATTAAATTTTTATTTGTAGTTAATCTGATACATCAAATTGTTTAGATTTTGTAATGGGAAATTGTACTCTGAAAAAAATAAACATAAATTTTTTTATTTAATTTCATACATAAATAACATCTACAACAGTATAGTTATAAATATATGTAACAGAACATCCATATTAATACACGGTAGTGGTGTAGTGGTAGAAGTTCAACTAGTTTCTTTGCAAGTAAGTTTCTTTATAGAGTTGAGAGAGAGAATTGTAACCACAGTTTTACACTTTTTTTTACCGAATATGAAGTTTTTTAAAATTCAACATAATTGTTAAGTTTTTAAAAAGTTTCAAAACAAAATTTTGTTTTTTTAAATCATAATTTTTCCCCGTTAATTAGTCACATTTTCCCGTTCAAAACAATTTTTAAATTTTTTAAAGTTGTTGATTTAAAAAGAAATAAAGTTTTCTTACTTATCAATCTAACAAAACAAAATGCTTGACTATCCTGTTTTTTACATATTACATTTATTTATTATTTTACCCTTAATACTTTGCTTATATAGAATAACATGTACAAACCACTTAAGTTAATTTAGCAGTTTTATTGTTAGTGCAAGCATATGTTGAATTTTAAAAAATTTCATATTCGCATATTTAATTATATACTATCATTAGTTATTTAAATAAAATATAAATTGATATTGTTATAAACACACAAAAATATATTAATTTTATTTAGAGTGGTGTATTTGAAAAAGAAGTTATTCCTGTATCTGTACCGAATAAAAAAGGTAATAATTTTTTTTTTAAATATATATAAATCTTTTTGGGTAAGCATCTAAACTCTGATAAAGTTGTTATTATTTTCTTTTTTTTTTTTATTAATATTATATTATTATTATTAATGTTAGTACTGTCTCACCAGGTTCGCCAAAGATAGTATCCATTGATGAAGAATTTACAAAGGTCAATTTTGAAAAAGTGCCATCTTTACGCCCAGTGTTTAAAAAGGATGGTACTATAACGGCTGCAAATGCAAGTACATTAAACGATGGTGCAGCAGCTATGGTGCTTATGTCAGAACCTGCTCTGAAAAGGCATAATTCATTGCCACTTGCAGTGATCGTAGGTTTTGCTGATGCTGCTTGCGCTCCTGTAGATTTTTCAATTGCACCAGCTCTTGCTATTCCGAAGGTTTTTTATTTTTGTTATGAAATTATTTTGTTCATCTTTGATAATATTTATACTGGTGTATTTTATCTATTAAGTTTTTTCTGTTTTTTTTTTTTTTGTTTTAAATTTAATTTTTAAAGTTTTATTATCTGATAAAAAAAGTATTTTTTACTACTAATCATGATCCTATTTTCAACTCACTTTTTAATTTACTTTAATTTATGTTCCACAATCAATGTTTTAATATCTGATATATTTATATTATATAATTTTATGTATTTTTAACACTTGGTATTACAACAAATTTCTATTTTTTAGGCTTTAAAAAACTCTGGTTTATCAATCAGCGATATGTCCATGATTGAGATCAATGAAGCATTTAGTTCAGTTGTGCTAGCAAATATAAAAGAACTTTCTCTAGATCCTTCTAAAGTAAATATACATGGCGGTGCTGTTTCAATTGGTCACCCAATCGGGATGTCCGGATGTCGTATAGTGGCTCATTTAGTACATAATTTGAATCGAGGAGAGTATGGAGTAGCTGCTATATGCAATGGAGGTGGTGGATCGTCCGCTATTGTAATTAAAAAGCTATAATCATAATGAATAATTGAAAAAATTTAAATAAAATTTTGATATTTTTACGTTTAAACTCACGATATAAATGTAATTTATATCTTGATATGATTTTGTTTACAAGTTTTTTTGAGTGCATTGATCTTATTTACACTTTTTAGAGATAACAAAGTTTTCATATTAATGTTTCTTGTTTAAAAAGTGACTTTTTAAGTTTTGAGTTTACACATTGATTTTCAATCCCAACAACTTTGACTTATACACAGTAAATAAAATACCCGTTATATTTTTAAAAAACATAACGGGAGTTTTCCTCGCACATAACGGGTAATTGCCGTTATGTTTAATACTTAACATGTATGAAAATAACATAACGGTTTTAGCTTTATGTTTAGTCATAGCAAAATTGCCTTAAACATAACGGTTACATAACGCTAATTTACCGTTATGTGAGAGGAAAACTCCCGTTATATAACGGGTATTTACCTGTTATGTTACCGTTATGTTGAAAACCTAACATAACGGGTAATTACCTGTTATGTTACCGTTATGTAAAATGAAAATTATCTTTTTAAAGAAACGCATAATTCTGCATGATTATTCGCAGAAAGTACTTAACAATAAACATTTTTTTGTCAATAAAAGTTGTAAGAAGAAAAAAAAATTATGCAGTTTCATATCATAATATATTTATATTATACTATTTATAATAATCATAAAAATTATTTACAAAATAATTGAATAAACTATTTACAAAATAATTGAAAAAATATCTTATTAACATTTATAAATTCAAAAGTAATTTGCATTGCTTTGAAAAGATTGCAGAAGAAAAATACATTTTTTAGATAATATAGTCAATTGCAAAAAGTCTCAAATATCTTGCTAACATCCCAGAAGCCGCCCAAAACGATAATATGTCAAATCCACTGATCTCTATAATAACTGGATAGCGCATCTCTAATATCAAAAGTGAAGCCAATATTTTGTACGGCCGCCATATTGGAAAGCCCCAGAATACCGAAAATACAGTGATTGCGCTTGAAGATGTACCTTTTTACTTCGTTTATATCTACTTGACCAAGTCACATATTTCAATGATATTATTATATTTAAAATGTTTGAAGGTGTAAAAATTATAAAAGGGAATCAAAAACACGCAGAACATTAACGACGAAGAGAAATATCGCTATAAAGAAATAATAAAATTTGTATTGCTTTCTATGAACTTGTTAAATTTATTGAATTCATGATATTCTAAATAAAACTTTTCTAAAAGACAAATTGATATTTGATCTGGTTACTTTTGGGTGTTTATTTTAACAACTTGATGCGACCTTACTTAGCAATAGTAGCTAGAAAGTAACTTTACAAGTATAAAACATGATAAAAACATTGTATCAAACATTTTTGTAAATGGTTTTCTAATTTTTGAAACTCTGAGGGCATGTTTATATTGTTCCACAACTGAAGTATCATCAACTATGCAATACTTTATTAAAATTGATATCACTTAATAACAATGTTTTGTTCTGTTGCTTTGCTAACTTTAATTACACTTTGTGAAGGTTTGAAAAAGCCAACTCTAACTTTAAAAAACACTGGATATTTGGTGATAACTAGTTATTTGCAGATTTACATTAAAGTATTTAGTGTTTTAGACTAAATAACAGCATCACATACATGTTGATTGTTTATATGTAAATTTGGTATAAATAAAAACAGACATGGTTTCTTTCAAGTTTTTTTACAACTATTGACTCTAAAGTAAAATAATAATGATTCAGCTAACATCTATCAGTTTTATACTGATAAATATTAGTTGTATAATTAATAAATATTTAAAATATCTCTTGTGAAAACAAATAGGCAACATAAAAGACCAAAATGAAAGGTGAACAATTTTTTTTCTAAGTGTACATACTTTTTTACTTTTCCCTACCACATAATACCTTTTTATTCAATGTTTATTTTGTTATTCAATGCTTATACAAGTTATTCAATGATTATTTTGTTCAAGATGATAGAGCTAACTATTGTTTTATTTATATTTTTTTACTTTAACATATTCTTTTGTAATTGCAATATCTTATACAAATGTTCTGGTGTTGTGAAAATGTCTGATGGCATTTACAAAAATGTCTTGAAAGTATTTTTCGACAGTTAAGCGTTAAGTTAATTTTTATATATATATATATATATATATATATATATATATATATATATATATATATATATATATATATATATATATATATATATATATATATATATATATATATATATATATATATATACACGCAAGAACAAAATTATTAAAAGTAAATATAAAGATTTGCTATATGTTGCCTAAGGAACCTTTAGGTTGTGTTACAATCACATTGCCTAACTAATGATTCATACAGCAAACTTGTAAGCTGTTTACCTTGCAAATATGTTACAAGCCTCAGGCATTTTGCAGAGGGCAATTAAGAATCAAAAGGTGCATACTAATATACACTAGCATGCTATTATAATAATATTATACCAGGGTGGCCAGCTAACTGGAAATCATGGAAAAGTCAGGGAATTTTTTTCTAGTCAGGAAAATCAGGGGAAAATGTCTTTTTTGAAAATTTAATTTTTTTTAAAGGTTTTTTTTACTTACTCATAAACAACAAAACTTAAAAATTCACACTTCAAAATATAAGTCAGGGAAAAATATAAAAAGTCAGGGAATTTAATTCTTGAAAGTGGCTGGCCACCCTGTATACATAATTTATATATATATATATATATATATATATATATATATATATATATATATATATATATATATATATATATATATATTTATGTCACTCTCCATGAAATAATCTAAACATATGACATCAGATTTACTCGGTTTTTAATAATCAATGCATTTATAAGGTTTTTGCATTTTTTATTTATCAAGCGAAATCTGTGTTTTAAGCGCATATAAGTTTAACGCAACTACGGATTTATAAATTCTGGGGCTTTCCAATATGGCGTCTTTTGGCTTCAAAAATTTCGAAATTTTATTAGGAGATGCGCTATCCAGTTATTATAGAGATCAGTGGTCAAATCTAGCAAATAGTAAACAACCATCAAAACAACCACTGTATGTACTGATCAAGGGCTGAACAACCATTTCGACACTTCCTCAACTCCTTACATCATATACATCATATTACATATATTCTGTTTTATTAAAGATAACTTGTGGACCATATAAGCTTTGGCATAAGTATTCATGTAGTGAATCACACTAAAATTTTATAAATAAAAAATAATTATTACAATCATAAAATAAAAAATTATTATTAATACATTAAATGGAAAAAAAAAAAGAATGTAAACCATTGTAATACAAAATATGCTTACCATTAGTTAAAATGTCAGCAATATTACAAACGAGAACAATTTTCTTTCCCCAAGAAATTTGACAACAACAGCCTTTATTATTTTCAACTATTAACTATTGTAGAAATAAGTAAAGCAGTTATTATTAGTTTATACTACTTTAATTTTACAAATAGTATATTTAACATTTTTTAATACTTGCAATACAAAATTAATGTTAAAAACAGTAACAATAAACAGACAAATCAGTCGGTAAGAGGTAAACACCATTATTATACAAGTATTAAACAATATTATTTGGCACAATTTAATTAGTTTAATAATACTACACTAATTTATATTATATTACTAGAAAAAATTTATAAAAATATCATATAATATATTACAATAATAATACTATTATAGTATCAAGTTTATATATCATAAGCATATAATAGGGTCATTCCATATAAGATGAGCCAAACCTTCTCGGGTGACAATGTTTTATTTTCTTGAAATGTATACCTCTTCTAGGTTTTATGGACCAAAAAGATTTCTTCAGAATTTTAACTTAGTAACAAATAATTTTTTCTTTTCAAAATTATTTCAAATATTAAAGACTTAGCCTATTTCGAGAAACTTATTGGTCAATTTACGGACCGAAAATTGACAGGATGTACAGTGAATTCAAAATTTGAAATTTTTAGGTATGCATCTTCAATACAAAAAGTATAAATACAGCATAAACAAATTTGGTGTTTTTTGTGGTGGTGAGACATCTGAACAAAATAGCATTATAAAACTCAAAATTTACTATTTTGAATTTGTATTATACATATATATATATTGAAAGATATATTGATATATATATATATATATATATATATATATATATATATATATATATATATATATATATATATATATATATATATATATATATATATATATATATATCAATCGTTTAATTACGAAAAAGGTGATTACGATTCAATATCTAACTTTATTGCATCAATCGACTGGGAGTTTTTATTTCTGCATAAAGCTGCAGATCAAATGTTCAATATACTAATTTCTAACTATCGCACTGCTTGCACATACTTTATTCCCAAGATTAATTAAACAAAAAAAAAAGTATGATCCTTGGGTTACCCCACATATTAAAAACCTGATCCGAGCAAAAAAATCCGCTTGGCATATTAACTGCTCTACCAAATGGGAGAATAGTGAGCTTAAAATAAAATACAATCGACTTAATCGTTTAGTAAAAGCTGAAATATTTAAAGCAAAAAAAGCACATGAAAAAGAAATAATATCAAAATCCCAAAACAACCCAAAACTCGTTTACAAATATATCAACAAACAACTAAAAATTAAAGATCGAATTCGCTCTCTCAAAGATACTTCTGGCAGAATTATTGAAGCTCTTCCTGATATAGTTGATCTTCTGAACTCTCAATTTGAATCTATGTTTACACTTGAAAGCTCTGAAAATTTTCCTTTGCTAAATAAAAGTGGTATTCATTCTGAATGCATTTATAATGAAAACTTGGATTTCTCTATCCCAGATATTATTAAGGAACTTGCCGATCTAAACCCTTATAAATCCTTCGGATTTGACGGCCTGCATCCCTTAATACTCAAGATATGTGCTAAAAGCTTTGCAATTCCATTAACAAAAATCTTTCATAAATCCTTTAATTCTGGAGTAGTACCCAGTCAATGGAAATTAGCAAATATTAGTCCGATCTATAAAAAAAAGGGAGATAAATTACTTGCTGAAAACTATAGACCTATTTTACTAACATCTGTTGCCTGTAAAATCTTCGAAAAACTTG